TTGCTTGGTGATAGCCTCTCCGACGTGAGGCTCCAGCCACACAGTTAGATTTCCTAAACCTTATAAGATATTCAAAGTGTGTGTACAGCTCCAGGAGTAAACTGTTAACATCCACAGAATGTACACTCAGAACATATCACTTAGAAGGCGTTATAAGGTGACCAACAGTGTATCTGGTGCCCTCAACATATCAAATCCCTTGATGGAGAGAGGTTTTTGGCAGTTGTTTACGGCAGCAGCTGGCTTGGGATGGCTGAACTGGGAGTGTTTTTATTCTTCAAAGTAGTTCCTTTCCTTTTCTCATGCTGTGCAAACCATCAGCTCCTCTTCCCACTCGGCATGTGCTTTCTGTGCTTACTGAGCTCTCAACACTGTAGCTTACAGGAACGCCTCTGCCCATCCATATGCCCCCTCAGGATGGCTCTCTAAAATCCTCAGACAGTCAAGTAGAAAGTACATCAGAGAGGAACGGGACGAATATTAGATGCAACCAGCCAGAAATTTGCAACCACGCTGACCTACAAGTTTGCATTTTGCTTTTTTCAGTTTTGTAAACCGTGTGTCTGCCTGCAAACATTAGCATTTCTGGATAACTAGCTAAAGTAACAACCGAGCGTTACGTCCAAGCGAGTAATTTACTTCCAGGCATTTTATTTTGTGGCGTTACAGCCTTTTAGATTTTGGGAAGTTTACACTCCAGCAGCCAAACCTGTTATCCATGGAGCATTATGGTTAGTCCTTACCCTAAAAATCTTTCCTCTTGCAACATTAACAATGAACCATAAGTGAAGCATAATTCGAACCTCTGTCTTGCTTGTAAAACAGGGGCGGACCTAGAAGCGTGGCATGGGGTGGCAGCTGTCATGCCTAAAAAAAATGCCTTGCCACCCCAGTTTGGTGTCAAATGCTGTCAAATTTAACTAATTAATTTAGATTCATTTTTAAAATGGAAATTAACACATATATTTTAATTATGTCATGGCCAAATTAGATAGGCTTAAATTCAGTGAAAAAATGGCTCAAGATGTGGAAATAAAACAATTTATTGATTTATTAACGCTTTACTCAGGTGCCACAGTAATGTAATATTTTTAAGTTAAAATATTGTCATTTGGGGGCTTTTTCAAGCAAATATTAATGATGTTTTTGTGATATCATTGGCAAATATTTCTGCCACCTTTAAAGTCTCCATGCCCCCCTCTTGCCACCCCATTGATATTTCTCTATACTCGCCCCTGTTGTCCAAGTATGAGCTAAGCCCAAACAGGGTTAGAATGATTATTCAGCGTTGTATTTTTCCTTGTAATTCTGGAACTAATTAGCACTATACTGAAACAAGTAACAACTTTATGGGCATCCTACATGCAGTTTAGCATCAGTCTTTTATAACCCACATCATGTATTGTTTATAGTTAAGAGTCCTTTACAGAATCCTTATTTTAAAACAAGGGAGCTTAAAACATTAAAAAGTCAGCAGGAGAAGACAACTCATAAAGCCAGACCATTAAGGTTTGTGTGATGTAAATTTTCCTCCATCTCAGTGTGTTTTCAGTTAAGTAGGCATGCCAGCTGTCTACTGTTTGATA